TGCTAATTTTACCAGGACGCCCTAAGAGAATGACACAGAAAAGCAATTTCCCAAAGCAAGTGAGACCACCCTCCAGCAGGGGGCGCTGGGATGATGGCGTGGGCAGCATGAGACTCAGGTGTAACAGTACCAGACGTGGGCTTTGCAGGTTGCCTTAAAGATGATAGATTTCCAGGAGGTCAGTGAGTGATATTTTCTCCCCAAAAAAGGGGGCAGTAGATCAAATAAATTTTGCACCTTTGCAGAAAAGGGAAGAAGGAATCGGTGGCTGTCACTGTGGTGGGCTCCTTGCCATGGAAAATCCTGGACAGTGGGAAACCCCTCAAGGCTGTTCCTCCCATAGAGGGTGGGATCTGGGTCGTTTGCCTGCAGATTGTCTGCTTGGCGCTGCACTCTGGCTTGCCCCGCTGAGCTGAGACAAGGTCTTCAGGTGGAGGGGTGCAGGGTTGGGGGGCTGTGATGAGCACCTCTAGAACAGGGGTCGCAGAGGGCACAGCTGACAGCAGCCGGTGACATTACCAGTCGCTTCCGTTCTAAATGCCCACGCTTAAACAGAGAAGGTTTTGTTCCTCTGAACCGAAGAGACACCACGGAATGTTGTCAGCTTGGCATGATTTTAGGGAATCAGTCTTGTCTCGTCATGCGTTCTGCATTCTTGGAATTTTTGTATTGGTTTTGGATTCTTTTCCCCTGGAATGCCGCTGGTTCTAGGAACTTGGTTTTCCTGCTGAGTTAACATACTGATCTGTGTGTTTTTAGATGTCGTTGCACACATGGAAGCTTGGCATTGATTCGTGAGCAGGAAATACAGTTTTCAGAGGAGGAGACTAAGACTCAGGGACAGAAGAAATGAGGGCCAGGTGGCCTGGTCCATGTTTGGAAGCTTGCCACAAGTTGCACCCCCACCTCCACTGCTTTGTTTAGAGTTGGCAATCTGGGTACTGTGTGGGTCTATTCTTACAGTTCAGCAGATGCAGAATCTTGTTCTGATCATACATGGCTCATCTGACACATCATACCTTCATGCTTATTTACCTAAATGTGTAGAATAAGGATGTGAAGAGTAAGCTATCGTCTCAGGCACTGGAGAGATAGTACAGAGGGTAGGGCACTTGCTTTGCTCATGGCCAACCCAGGCTCAATCCCTGGCATCTCACTGACTCCCCTGAGCACTGCCGGGAGTGATCCCTGAGTGTGGAGCCAGGAGTAACCCCTGAGCATCACTGGGTGTGGTCCCAAAACAAAAACAAAACAACTTAAATTCTCTTATATGACCAAAGGGCTGGAGTGATAGCACAGCGGGTAGGGCGTTTGCCTTGCATGCGGCCAACCCGGCCGACCCGAGTTCGATTCCTCCGCCCCTCTCGGAGAGCCCGGCAAGCTACCGAGAGTGTCTCGCCCGCACAGCAAAGCCTGACAAGCTCCCCATGGTGTATTGGATATGCCAAAAACAGTAGCAAGTCTCACAATGGAGACGTTACTGGTGCCCACTCGAGTAAATCGATGAACAACGGGAGGACAGTGCTACAGACCACAGACTAGATGGACAATATTTAGAATTTTCATGCTTTTATCTGTTATGGTCTTGTGATTCTGACTTTGATCAGCTGAGCTAACTGATGAGTTAAACCCTTAAAGCCTTAAACCCTTAAGCCCTTTAAACCCTTAAACCCTCCCTGGGCCTTTCCAACAAGTTTGTTGACATGTGTCTTTGATTTCCTTAATTCTGGAATATTAATGTTTACTCTTTTAACTTTTTCGCATTTTCAGAATTGATCTTTTAAAATAATAGTCTTCTTTTTAGAATTTTTTTTCACTTTATGGGGGTGTGGGGTCTCCCAAGCACAGAGCTGGGGAAGCCTGGGGACCCTTCCCAGGGATTCTTAGCAGGGACCTGAAGGTGCAATGCTGACCAGGTCCTGCAGGGGGCTCCCGGGATGCTATGGGGTACTAAGGCTGGAAGCCAGGCCAGCTGCAGTCCAGGCAAATGCCCTACACCCTGTCCTATCACTCTGCCCTCTTCCACCTTTGTTAATTTTTTTTATTATTTTGCAATTTCCCTGTGGGTGAATTCAGGGTGTGCGTCCGAGCTGGATGTCCGGCTGTGGCATCTGCTTTGATTCACCTGGCTGGGATCTTCTCTAACTCCACCCGTGTAACTGCTCATTTTCCCCTGTGACATGGACACTGAGATTCCGACAACCGCTGAGCGTGTCACTTCCCCATATCTCCCAGAAACGATTCCCTACAGGATAAAGCACTTCCTGTCATTTGTATGTCTGCGTTCTTGATTTTTTTTTTTTAACTAGGCAATCCTCTAACTTCTCTTCAGATGAAATACTATGACCATCTTCCTGCTTTTTTTTTTGGGGGGGGGCATGCCCGGTAGTGCTTTGGGGGGGACTCCTGGCTCTGCGCTCAAGAATCATTCCTGGTCATGCTCTGGAGACCATATGGGATGCTGGAGATCGAACCAGGGTCAGCTGCATGCAAGGCAAGCACCTTACACACTGTGCTCTCTCTCCAGCCTCCACCTCCCTGCTTTTAAGAGCAGACTAGAGGACCTGGAGAGATAGTGTAATAGATAAGCTACTTGCCTTATCTCGCCCACGCGGCAAAGCCCGGCAAGCTACCTGTGATGTGTTCGATATGCCAAACACAGTAACAAGAAAGTCTCACAACGGAGACGTTACTGGGCCCGCTCGAGCAAAACGATGAACAATGGGAGGACAGTGCTACAGTGCTACGGTGCCACTTGCCTTGCACGCAGCTGACCAGGGCTTGATTCCCCAGCACCACAAACCGTTTCCAAGCACGCCAGGAGAGATCTCTGAGTGCAGAGCCAGGAGTAAGCCTTAAGCACCACCAGGTGTGGCCCCCCCCAAAAAAGACTAGAATCCTGGGTCACACCCCAGAGGGAGTAGGCAGCATTCAGCCTGTCTCCTCGACTCAATGCAAAGAAGACCGAGGGCAGAATGCATGGGACAACTCCCTGGGACTCCTGAAAAGTAAGTGGGTAGGATGTGGAGGAAAGGAAAACAGCCTTGAAATAGGCACATCGATGTTACGTCGCCCGTTTTCCTCTCATATCTCTGGTCTGGACTCAAAAGTCTGCCCAGACGGATTGGAGAGAGTGAGTACAGCAGATAGGGTGCTTGCCTTGCATGTGACCAACCTGGGTTCCATCCCCGCCATCCATCCCCGGAGCACTGCCAGAAGTAACTCCTGGGGGCAGAGCTAGGAGTAAGTAACCCCTGAGCTTTGCCGGGTGTGGCCCAGAAAAAAAAAAAACCAAAAAACAAATAAAGGTCAGCCTAGAGAAACCACAAAGAGTTCAAGGAGAAAAGATTTTGGGAAATAAGCAAGATGATGGGCTGGAGGGATAGCACAGTGGTAGGGCATTTGCCTTGCACGTGGTTGACACGGCAGAGCGAGTTCGATTCCACCGCCCCTCTTGGAGAGCCCAGAAAGCTACCAAGAGTATCTCGCCCGCACGGCAGAGCCTGGCAAGCTACCCGTGACATATTCGATATGCCAAACACAGTAACAACAAAGTCTCACAATGGAGACGTTACTGAGCCTGCTCGAGCAAATCGATGAACAATGGGGGACAGTGACAGTAACTGTGACAGTGAAGCAAGATGATGACCCCACTTGGATAGAGCATAAGGGGGATTTTCTTTCCTTTCTTCTTTCCCCCTCCTCAGTGGTCAGGCGGGGGCAGACCACCAGCTCATAGGGGAGCCCTGAGTGGGGGACGCACATACTGCATCTGGGGGCTCTAAACCGCCCAGCTCTCCAGCCTGAGGAAGGAGATCTAGGGTCAGCATCAGGGGGCAGGCAGAGAAAATCAGCCCTGCTAACACCATGGGTTCATGCCCCGGCTACTCATGGATGCCTTCCCCCAAACGGTAAACTGAGAACAGATCAGAAAAGTGACCCTCCCAGCCACTGTGTGAGGCTCAGAAGCGGTCAGCCCCGCCCCACCAGGCCTTGGAAACTCACATCTGCCTTTGGAAACGGCAGAAGGTGGGTTGGAACACGTGTTGGCTGACCTTGGCTGACCTTCCTGGGTTGGTTCTCTGCTGCAAAATAAAATCACGAGTGCCTGGTACATTCAGGGATCCAGGTTCAAATCCCAGCACCACCTGGTCTTCTTCACCTACCCTGGTGTGGACATGGTGATCTCCAGAGACCTTCCCTGTAGGACGGAAAAAAAAAAAATCAGCATTTCCCACAGGACTGTGGCATTGCAACACTTTGGTTCCTCTGGGCCCCAGTAGATCTGGCGGAAGTTTCAAGCATGCATCAGAACTCAGCCTAACTCCTTCACTAATGACTTTACTATCTGACACACTGAAAGTACCCACGGAAGGTCCCTTTTTTATTATTTATTTATTTTTCTCTTTCTAGCTTTCGGGTCACACCCGGCAGTGCTCAGAGGTGATGCCTGGCTTTGCACTAGGAAATTATTCCTGGCAGTGAATAATTTAGGGGACCACATGGGATGCCGGGGATCAAACCTGGGTCAGACCCGTGCAGGGCACGTGCCCTCCTGGCTGTGCTCTCTCTGGCCCTAACAGCATCTTCTGTAACTGACTTTTCATTTATATATATATATATTCCTGTTAATGTTTACCTATTCTCTCCCCCCACCTCCAAGTCCAGTTAATTGTATTCAATGGTGAGTTGCCTAGACCCCCCTCTTAGCATCCCCAGCAGTGCTCAGGAGGCCTGGACGCCCCAGTTACTCTCTGCCAACCAGGTCGGTGGGTCCATGCGAGGATCTGAGCTGGTGCTGCTCAGCCTTAGATGTGGGGGAACACCTGGGCAACCCCAGTACTTCTTGGGGACCCCCAGGGTTACACGAGCAGTGCTCTGGAACCTTGAAGATGCTTGGGGATGTGTTTGATCCCATACTCTGCCTCAGGCCCTGCAAGACCTTCCAGGCCATGGGTCTCTGGACTGAGTCCCTGTGACCTATCCCCTTTCCCATTCAGATCGCCATGAAGTCATCACCAAAGAAATTCTGGAGCTGGACCCCTGGGAGAACCAGTGGAACGTGGTGGCCGTTAACGTCCTCATGCACGACAGCTATGACGTGTGCCTGGTGGCCAGGATGAATCCCCGTGACCTCATCCCCCCACCTTCAGACCTGGTGGAGGAAGATGAACAATGAGGTCAGTATGAGGAACCACCAGTCGTGTCTGCAAAGGTGGGTTCCGCAGGGGAGAGAGACCCCCCCCACATGCCAGTGACCCCAAACACATATGTATGCTTCCTGTGGAGTGAGCCAGGGGCAGAGCTGGGCGGCGGGGGCTTCAGGGAAGGGCATGGGATGGACAAGACTCTCCCCGGCTGACGCTGCAGAGGGTCCTGGAATGTCACAGGGCTGCAGGGACTGCCCACTGCGGAGACTCGGGGTCCGGCTGCGGAGGAAGCGGTCCCCTGATGGGGAGATCTTGGAGAGGGCTGGGCAAAGGTAGCTGCCCAGGCTCCAAGTTTCACCCGAGGCGGGAAAAGCAGGTTGTAGCTGGAAGGTGGGCTCCTGGAAGATGGAGCCTGGTCCCAGGCAGAGGCTCAAGTACTTGGGGGTCATACCCAGGGGTGCTCAGGATTCCTCCTGGCAGACCCCGAGACTGAACTGGAGTCAGCCATGTGCCAGGCAGACACCCTCCCCACTGTGCTGTCACTCCAGCCCCGCCAGCCAGGGTTTCACGGATGGGCGATGTCCAAGCAAGATGCCTCTTCCTGCTCTGTTTTGGCATCAGCCTTCGGCTCTGCTTCCACTCTCGTCCTGCTGCGTGGCCTGCAAGGGGCTCACAGGGTCCCCCAGATACCCAATAGCCCTCAGGTCCTGCCCCAGTGAGCAGGAGATTTCTCCCTGAATGGCGTCCACATCACCAACAGAAACACAGAGTTCCTCCCTGGTCCCCTTGGGCACTGGCCAGTGTCCTGGGCTGGGCCTCCCGAAATGCCCCTGACCAGCTCTCAGACACACAACCTTCTGCGGTCCTGTCTGAACACATGCGGTCTGGACCACTTCATCTCGGAACAGGCCAGGTTCCGGGTAGATGGAGGAAGCACCTTCCGGTGGCCACTCTCAAGGGTCCACGACTGTGAAATCTCCTCCTACCGTCTGGGGGGAGAAGGGTAGTGCCCTCCTCTCCCACCACACTAAAACTCATCAGGAGACAGCCACTCCCAAACTAAGTTTAGGGGCCCCCGACACCACGCATGGGCAGTCTATCGCTGACACTTGAACCTCTACATCTGTTTGGGGGCTTTAGGGGTTTTCAGTTTGCTTGTGTTTTGGTGGGAGGAGATTGGGCCACACTCAGCGATGCTCAGGGGTTACTCCTGGTTCTGTGTTCAGGGATCACTCCTGGTGGGGTTCAGGGGACCATATGGGATGCTGGGGATTGAACCCAGGTTGACTGTGTTCAAGGCAAACGCCCCCCTCCCCCACCCCTGCTGTACTCTCTCTCCAGGAACCTCGAATCTCCACTTCCGGAAGCCCGGTGGGAATCAGATTGCTCTGAGGTTGCAGTGCCATGGTTACTTCTTGGAAGTTCCACACTGCCATTCCCTTTTGAAGGAGGAGCAGCCAGTAACTTCCTGAGCATGTTCCCAGAGGGAGAATGTTCTAGATTGCGGCAGCCTTGTGTGGAAAGGTGGCCAGGGGGCCCAGGACCCCAGATTTCAGCTGCTAACCCTGCGGGAAGGCAGGTGATGGGAACCGAGACTGTGAGCACCTGCTTCCACCACCGTGAAGGGTCAGCCCTGGACAGAGCTCTCGCTGACCCCGTGGAATAGCACTCCTCAGCCCTTGGTGTCTGAGCAGGTCAGAGATAAGATGGAATTCTCCCTGGGAAGATCCAGATCCTGGCTTTGTTGTGATAACGGGACAGTCCCAGGGTAGGAGGGTTGAAGGGGGTGGTCCCTGTCCCCCACTCCAGCTTAGTTTTTTAAAAATTTTTTTATTTTCCAAAATAGTTCACAATATTTGATTACATTTAATATTCAAACACCGATCCCACCACCATGACACCTTCCCACCACCATATTTCGGATGTTTCCATCCCGAACCCCAACCCCTGCCCCAAAGCAGAACTGAAATAATGTATTTTGTATTGTTTGTTATGAAAAACTAATGAAAATGCTATCAAAAAAAGTTTCCTTAGAGGAAAGAGTGTGAAGAGGGTTGTATTTCACTAAGGGGCCATTGAGCCCTTCTGTAAGAGATCACTAACACGTTGCTAAAGGTTGAGCCTTGTGTACTTTTATATATATATATATATATGTATATATATATATATTTTTTTTTTTTTTTGCTTTTTGGGTCACACCCGGCAATGCCCAGGGGTTACTCCTGGCTCTGCACTCAGGAATCACTCCTGGCAATGCTCAGGGGACCATATGGGACACTGAGAATCAAACCCGGGTTGGCCACGTGCAAGGCAAACACCCTACCCGCTGTGCTATTGCTCCAGCCCCATACATATATATCTTTAAAAAAAAAAAAAAAAGTATTTCCCTCTAAGACAGGTTGCCTCACACCTTTTTTTTTTTTTTGCTTTTTTGGGTCACACCCGGCAATGCACAGGGGTTACTCCTGGCTCTGCACTCAGGAATCACTCCTGGCGGTGCTCAGGGGACCATATGGGATGCTGGAGATCGAACCCGGGTCGGTCGCGTGCAAGGCAAACGCCCTAACGCTGTGTTATCGCTCCGGCCCCTTGCCTCCTACTTGAACCCCATCAAATGTGGGGTGGTACTCTTAGCCACTGCAGCTTCTTTTCCCTGTCACCCCACCCTGCTCCACCTGCCCTCCACCCAGGGGCGGCAAGTCCCTGTATCGCAAGGCCACGTGCTGGCTTTGAGACGGGGCCTCTCACCCGGCTCCGCTCTCCCTGTGGTCTGGAGCAAGATGAACTTGGTAGGTTCCTATTTCCCTCCAGCAAGAAGGGGAAGGAGAATCCTGGCTGTGAGAACTGAGAGCGCAAAAGCCGAGCAAAGTGCCTGTTAGGTGCTAAAACAAGAAACCTCCTTCAGTACCCGCCCCCGCCCCCCCCCCCCCCCCCCCGATCTTCAAGGCGCTGGAAACGCCCTTTCCCTAAGCCTCGTGTCCAAGGCCGCCCAGCGTTGAGTGGGATGGCGGGATTCCTGGGGGTCTTCTAATCCCAGCACTGCATATGATGACCAGCATTCCTGGTCTCATGGTCACTTACCAGCCCCTGAATCATGTTACCAGACGAGCAAAGGTTTGCTCCAGCCATTAAGTTCTGGTGCTCCCTGACCGGTTCCCATACTTAGAATGAAAACCGAGATGCGTTTGCCCTCCTCTTCGTGAAATATTGTGAATGGACTTTGAAACGCTTTTCCTGTCACTCCTGTTTTCACTTGCTCTGAAGGCTGTTCCAGGAGCACGGGGCGGGCACTACCAGCCTCCGCTGTTTATACACTGTTTATGCAGCAGAGTTGTAGGGACCAGGAAGCCAGCATTCCTGGTCTCATTATTTGGCCTTGGCTGAGACTGCTACAAGGCCGCACCTGGCAGCCACACCCTGTGTGGTCTGTGTCCCGGAAGGTGCCTTGTTCTCGCTGATGTGATGAGCAAAAGCTTTACATTTGAATGTCAAAGGTTACTAATAAAGGAGTGCTTTCATTTTTGTGCTTTGTTTTATAACTTCACGCACATGTCCTTTGAAGAAGGGCGTGAGACAGAAGGGCAGCCGGCATAAAGGTGCCCGCCAGATCACCCACATGGGGAAGGAGACCAAAAAAAACGCCTCTTAGGGGAAAATATCCCTTTGTGGGCCAGAGAGAGCGTATAGATGTTAAGGTACCAGTTTTGCATGCAGCTATGTTGAGGAAATCGGTTCAAATCCCAGCACTACATATGATGACTCAATGCCCCCAGGTGCACTCCCCACCCTGAAAAAAAAATTCCCTTTGCAGACCCTGCAAATCACTAGATCATTCTTTTTAGTTTGGGGGGTCTGGGAAGAGACTGCTCACGGCTTATTCCTGGCTCTGCATTCAAGGCATCACTCCTGGCAGTGCTCAGGGGAACATGAGTGGTACCAGGGACTAAACCCAGACCATCTGCATGAAAGGCAAGTGCCCTCCTATATCTCTCCAGCCCCAGTCACTGGAACATTCTGTGAATCCTTTCAGCAAATCTCTTCGTTGCTACACAAGGGCTGGTAACTATTGAACCCCGGCCCCTAACATATCAGCACCATCCCCCACTTTTCCATCTTTGATCAGTTCACAGTTTTGTTAACCCTGAAAACCCTGTATGGTTCAGCCAATGGAGTGAAGGTGTTACAGATGCTGAACACCTCAGAGGGTGAGAATGATGAAGTCTTAGACCCATTGGAGCCAAGATCAGCTGGAATCAAGAAAATCTAAGATGGGGGCCAGAGCAATAGTACAGCGGGTAGGGCGCTTGCCTTGCATATGGCTCACCTGGGTTCAATCCCCGACATCCCTTATTACTCCTGAGCACTGCCAGGAGTAATTCCTGAGTGCTGAGCCAGGAGTAACCCCTGTGCATTGCCGGGTGTGGCCCAAAAAGCAAAAAAGAAAAAAAGAGAAGAAAAGAAAAAAGAAATCCAAGGTATAGGACCAAATGACCAACAGATGGCTTCCAGTTTCATTGTTTGTGCAGTATAGTACATTTCCACACTAAAAATCACACCTCAGTGATCACGCCACACACACCACGACAGTTTACAGTGGTCTCGGTGACAGCAGGAAGTGAGCAAATGTGGTTAGAACCTGGCGACATCCTTCACTCTAAGAAACCACCATCCCGAAGTCCTCCCTCTTTTTTTTTTCTTTTTGGGTCATACCTGGCAATGCACAGGGTTACTCCTGGCTCTGCACTCAAGAATTACTCCTGGCAGTGCTCAGGGGACCATATGGAGTGCTGGGAATCGAACCTGGGTCAGCCGTGTGCAAGGCAAATGCCCTCCCCACTGTGCTATCACTCCAGCACTGTCCTCCCTCTTCTTAACAAGCCACACCTTGCCCGCCTCTTGCCCAGCTCCCCTCTCTGCACTTACATGACCTGCATATTCGTGGGGAAGGGCCTTCCTGCACACCATCCCGAGTGTGCCCCTTGGTTTGAAAGCTGCTGTCTTGCTCAGAAACGCTCTCCTCTATACGGCT